TTGACATTAATTATTATTAAAATGACTGAACTAGTATATGGCAAGTCAATTTCAAAGTATTTCCTACATGAAATATGTTAAGAAAAACATGATTCAATGAGTCAACTTCTATTTTTATTCTTTTCCTTTATGGAGAAGTCTTGAACAGCCTTTTTTTTTTTTTTATCTCTTGATATGTAATATTTTAAAAGTGGGAATTTTTTTAAGGAATAAATGATGACATATAGCTTCTGTAATCTTTATGGCATTGGCAGGTGTCATTGCAGTAATAGACTAAATCTTTCTTCTAGAAAGAACCCAAAGTAGTAAAACTTTGCCTATTTTCTTCTATTTCATTTAATTAAATGTTCTACCTACCAATAAACCAAGTGAAAGCTCTTAAATAATTTCTGACATGAGCTAAATTTTACTTCTGATTCATAATGACTGATTATAACCCTGTGACAATTTCAGAAAATTAATTAGTTATGAAGAGCAAGAACTCTAGAAATAAATATGCAGAGGCTGAAAATTGAATTGTAATCTTTTTCATACTACGTGGAAATGGTCAAATGGAATTAAAGAACTCAGGTCACCAAAATAATATAAAGGAAACTTTTTATTATACATTGGTTTTATTTTCAATAAATATGTCATATTGTGGCAATATGAATTACATAAAATGCACACGCAATATTTTATCTGTGATTACAAACTTGCCCAAAATGCTACTTACTGCCAAGCATGAAACTTGTAAAACTCAAAGTTTACTCCTAACGCTTTTGAATCACTTGGGGTACATATTAAGAAGGCATATTTTGGGCTCTACCCCAGAGGGACTGAATCAATCTCTGGAGGGTATGTCCTGGGAATCTGCATTTACAGTGCTAAACATTTACTTATTACCCACACTGTTAGCATTCTGGCAAGAGTGCTAACTTCTTCACTATCTATGACATGATCCAGATTCCCCAAGCTTCAATGCTTCATTCTGTCTTAGAGATGAACATGGAGTGTTTATCAGAAATCCACAGCTAACATCCATAGGCACAGTTGGGCAACTGCTTCAAAGAGGCAATGAATTTTGTCCTTTTCAATCACCTTTTTTGGTGTAGAAATTTATGGGCTGGTATTAATATCCACTTACAATAATCTAACATCGACTGAGCAGTTTTAACTACGACTTTCTCACCTCATTGTTGGGCAAACTTTTTCTCTGTTTTCTAGTGTAGAGATAGAAAGCATGTCTGCATAATACCTTAGGCTTTCAACAAGATTCTGCAGGTATCTTGTTTATATGGGGTTTTGTTTTGTTTTGGTTTATTTAATTAGTATAGTTTATGTCCTAGAAAGAGGTACACAAATGTTGGTGTAATTTAAGAACAATAGACTGCAATAATCACAATTTGATAATCCCATCTGTTTTTCATGAGAAGGAAGCAATGTTCCATGATGGTGTCAAAGGACCTACCAGTCTTCCTGAATCTGACCACACTCCTGAGATTCTATCTTCCTGTTTTTCTTTGTGTAGGTTCAAATTTCCATCTGCTGTCATATTCTTACTGCCTGAAGAATGTCTTTTAACATTTCTTTAGTGAAAGTCTGCTAGAAATGATTTTTTTTTTTTTAAAGCAACTTCATTTGCCTTTATTTTTGAGAGATATAGTTGGATATAGAATTCTGGATTGACAGTATTCTTTCTTTTACTACTTCAAAGATGTCATTCCATTGTCTTCTGGTTTACATAGTTTCTGTCAAGAAGCCTGATGTACCCCTCTGTAATGTGTCATTTTCTTTGACTGCCTTTGAGATTTTCTGTTCATATTGTATTGTCATTAATTTTGGAAAATTCGCAGCTTTATATCTTAAAATATTTTCCTATGTCATCCTTCCTCTTCCCTCCTTCTGGGACTCCCATTATATTTGTGAAACCACTTGATATTGTCTCACAGCTCTTGCCTGCCTTTGATTTTTTAAAAATTCTTTTCTTGCCTTAAGTGTTTAAATTTAAATGATTTTTATTTACCTCTCAAGTTTAGTGTTTCTTTCCTCAGCTGTGCCCAGTGTTCTTATAAGAACATTGAAGCAGTTCTTCATATCTAGTAATGTATTTTTAATTTCTAGCATTTCCATTTCACATTTCTAATAATTTTCATCTCTCTGTGGAAATTCCCTATATGTTCACACATATTGTCCACTTTTTCCACTAGATCCTTTAACATATTAATCATAGCCCAACATTTGGGTCATTTCTGAATCTGAGTCTATTGATTGCTTTGGCTCTTGATAATGCATTTTTTCCTCCTGCTTTTCTGGGTGTCATAATTTTTGATTGAATAATAGATATCATGTGTAGAAGGACAGTAAGGACTGAGGTAAATAGTATTTATACCCATAAATGGGCATGCCTCTTCTGTCAGGTCAATAATGTGGGTTATTGAATCAATCTAGTCAGGAGTTAAGCTGAGTATGGGTTTTATTGTTGTTATCATTACCTTCGGTGTACCACAAGATTCGAATTCTTCTATTACCTTCTGCTTAATGTGGGGCCTGGAGTGCTGGAGAGCTTTTCTCCATGTCTCTCAGCTTTCAGCAGTTTTTGTATGGTTGTGTTATAGAAGGGATCTCTCCCCACACCCTTTCTCCTCCTCAGCAAAAACTAGTGTTGCTTGTTACTGATACTTGGCTCTCAGTGGGACAAGGGAGCATACTCCTGGTTCAGCCCTAGTCTTAGACATGTTCTGTGTACCTGAGGCTTTCTCAGCATTTCTGCCCCTCTGACCCACTGCTGCCAAATTCTGTCTTGTGTTTGCTGTGTTAAAAGAGAGAGAGTAGAGAGGAAACAATACCCAGCCTTTATTTGGGATCCATTCAGGACACTGAGCCCCAGTGTTTCCTGAGGCTTCCCCAGAGGTAGAGAGTTTGTGCTTCTATCTCTCTCCCAGAAGCAATGGTTGTAGTAGTATTTTCTGGTGGTTTAAGGTTTTCATATGAGAGAAACATTTAGGGAAGTTAGGAGGGGTTTCTTGATTGTCCCACAATGACAGAGTTGTCACTTTCTAATAGTCTTGTTATCGCAAAAGATATTTATTGCTATCTCATAGAGAAGAATGTGGTGTTTCAATTTAGCTTCTATACAGATATTTATTAAGGAGATGCTCCATGAATAGTCCTTTAAATATTAACTTAATACACTGCTGCCTGTTCTTTATTTCTCTACCAGATACAGCTGCAGGAAAACATATTCGTATAAAAACACTTGTTTCTTTTAGCCACTTTCCATAGTACCACCAAAATTAAACTAAATTAAACTAAATCAAAATGAATGTGGTTAGGGAAAAAATAAAAACCATTGTGCAAAAGGAAAGTGCATACTTCACACTTGGATCCAGGGCTCTGTCATTTCTCTGGAGACAGTCTGCAGTGTCAGATAATTGTAAAAATCATCCCCCAAAAGAGCCCCTAACAAGAGGATTTCTGAACTTTCTAAAAGCCACATGGGTGTACACATGGTGCCAGGGGTTTGAGGAAGTTGGTTAACTCTTACTCTGAAGCCAGGGTAAGTCTAGTGAGCCCTACTCAGACTTTCAGAGAAAATGAAACTGAGATATATTTAGAGGATGATTACTGTCACAAATAGGTTCTCTGAGATACCTTAGCAGAAGACCAGAATTAGAAAAGAGGACATGAGCTTTTATTCTAGTAAATGTTTAGTATTTAAAGCTGAATCAATTCATGGGTTTCCAGGGCCTGAGAAGGGTCTGTTCTTTAAAAAAGGAAAAAAAAAAAAGTACAGCATACTATTTAAGGCTCCGAGTTCTATACTAATTATCACTATTAAGGCCATTTAAGATATTTTTCCAGTTTTGAGATATAATTGACATAATATTGTATTAGTTTTAGGTGTACAACATAATGATTTGACATATGTATATATTGCGAAATGATCACCAAAATAAGTTTACTTAATACCCATCACCTCCGTTACAATTTTTTTGTGTGTTGAGAACTTTTAAGATCTACTCTTAGCAACTTTCAAATATGCCATGCAGTATTGTTAACTTTAGTCACCATGCTGTACGTCTTGTCCCTACAACTCACTTATAACCGGTAGTTAGCACCTTTTGATAACCTTCACTCGTTTCACCCACTTTCCCCTACCGATTCCCTCTAGCAACCACCAGTGTTTCCTATTATCTTTTTTTCTTTACATGCAAGCTAATTTTAAGGGGTATATTATATTTGTGAGGGAACTGTTCTCTAGCTTCTTTATATGGAAATGTGGTGTTGATAAGCTTAAACATACAAGTCAATATTCAGCATTCAAATTGCCAATTTGTTATTGCTCATTACAAACAAAAAGGAAAATGAAAAAAAAAAAAAAGCAAAAATAAAGAAACTTTTTCTTATAAGGGAAGTTGCTGAAGGGCCTTCCCTTTCACAGGGTGTCACTGATAGGCCCTCTGAGAACTGAGCCCGAAAACATCTGAAGTCAAGATTCAGGCAAGTTTTAAGCAAAATTCACAGAGGAGTGGCCCCGTCCTGCACCTCACTCCCCAACCTCCACACTGGCGCGAAGACTGGTGGGACTTGGCTCAAGGCCCCTCCAAGAGAGGATGAGGCCCAGAGGCCCGGAGGAGCCAGGAGAGATACCGCGCCAGTCCTGCCCCGCGGGCGAGGGCGGAGGCATCCGGCCGACTCCCCTTCGCCCCGAGGAGGCGGAGCCTCTGCCTTTCCCGCCTGCGGGCTCCCCGCCCAGCCCTCTTTCCCCCTCCATTCCCTGCGCCATTTCTACTACTTTCAGCCCATCTGGCCCCCCAAGGGCTCTTGCCGCTCTGGACTGCGCGGAGCTGATCCCCAGGCGGAATGCGGCCACCCCCGGGGCCGTGGTGGCTGCTGCTCTGGCTGCCGCCCTTGGCCATCCGGCCCGCAGGCGCGCGGCGCGGGGAGGAGGCGGCCGCGTTGTCAGGTAACCGGGGCGCCGGCCGCACGCGCACGCGCTCCCAGCTTCCCGGCTCCCCGGCGCCACGAGGACGCTCCCCGGCCAGGGGCGGCAGAGGCCAGGACAGCGGGTGGCTTCTTCCCTCCCTCGCGGGAAGCTCGCCCTGCGGGCGCGGCCTGCGCCAGGGGCAGGCCCAACCTCCCTTCCCGTTTGCTTGGGCTCTTCTGGTCTCTGCTGGCACTTGGACTTTTTATGATTCTTTAAGACTAGAAGCAACTGCAAAGTTCAGTCTGGCCCTGTTACCTTGGTTTATAGAAGCAGTAACCACAGCTCAGAGATGTGTTTTGATGTGTCCAAAGTCGCACGGCTTTTGTATAGTACATTCTTTGATGTTGAAAACCCCTGTTTAGCGATATTTGGCCTCAAGACTAGAGAACTTAAGAGCTTTGGCTTTAGAATCTGACCGAAATTCCCCTGCCCTGACTAGTTTTGTGACCTTGAGTGCTTTACATTACTGGTCACATAAAACACAAATAGTAATACCTCACCGGATATTGTGATGTTTAACATGTATACCATCAAGGTACATAGGAAACAAGAAATGGTAGCTGCTCATCATAGTGTTGTTCAGCTGTTATCTGTGCAGTGCTCTCGAGATCCTGGCACAGAAGGGGAAGTCGAGAGTTCTAACTCCAGAACTGCTACTAATTTGCGATGAGCTTAACATTTCATTCCACCACGCCCCCCCCAACCAAAATCCTTTAAAAAGATTTCCTAGAATCACTGCCCACCAATTTCTCTTCATCTCATCAGCCACCTCTGATTGCAAGGGAGGCAACCAAATGTGGTCTTTTAGCTGCGCACCCCCTCCAATAAAATCAGGGTTCTCTGTCTAAAGATGAAGGCAATTATCAGATTTTGCCGCAGCTGCCAACTCGGGAATCTTGGCGAATCACCAACTATACACCAGTTTTAATTGAACATTTGTTGAGTGTTTACTATGTTAGGCAGTGTTAAAAGTGCTTTAACTGCTTTATCTTATTTAAGACCCATAGTGGCGGCGGGGGCAGGGGGCGCAGTTAGGTAGCATTTATAAACCCATTTTACAGATGAGGAAATGAAGGCTTAGTAGTAAGAAAAGTGATCAGTATATAACGACAAAAAAGTGAGCCACGAATCTGTCTAAGGAGGGTTTGAGCATGGCACAGCCAGAACTTGAGATCTAGTCCAGCCATTACATTCAGCCACTCACTTGTGGAATTACCATGGTCCAAGCACATAATCTTTACGAACCATAGTTTTCTCATCGGTAAAACGAAGGTGTTCAATTGCTGGATGGTTTCCAATATTTTCCTCACCATTTTATTTGGCTTAGTGAACCCAGTGTTTTTCAAGTTTTTGTGTTACCAGATTGTGTTTAACAGTTCACTTCTCTATTTTTTTAATGAAAGGCATACGTAAATGCCTATCAGAGCCTCTGTTCTGCCTGAGACATGCATGATACTCACTCGGTTGATAAAATTCTAGCTCGCAACTGAAAAAAAAGGCAGTTTCCTTTTAGCAATGCTTGCCATTCCAGATAGGCTTTACAACATGGATTACAAAGCATCCTGGACCAGTGGTGTGCCAATGACACTGTTCTGGAACCTCTGGTTTACACTAAGTCTAAATTAGAACCATTGCTGCTGTAAAAGTCTTAGTGTTAATGAGGAAACTTGAGATCAAATAACTAGTACTTCCTTTCATAAAACGGGGCCAATCTATAAGGTGAGAGGCTTGGATTATTCCTGTTCTAAATTTCCATCTGGAACACACACACACACACACACACACACACACACACACCACTCCCCCACCCACCACCCACCCCCTGCCATGGAATGGAGAACATCTAGACCAAAGCCAGCTTTCTGTCACCCTATTGGAAGAAAAGCAGAAGCAGTTGAAACACAGGAGGGGCAGGTAGTTGTCTTGCTGAGAGGAAGAAATTTCAAGCCAAGAGTCACCCGCAGTTTGCAACCAGCGGGTGAGTTTCCTAGAAACCATGTGTTGTCCTGTGATGAAGTTCAGGCCACTGCATTGAATTCCCAGGCTTGAACTGTTACAATACGCTATTTGAAACCACAGCTTTCAAATTCATCTGTGGAAAAGAAAAATCAATACTTGAAATTAAAATCATACCTGAATATGCATTACTATGTGTCAATTTCAGACGAGATTGGGGAGATTGGGCGTGTTCAGGGTGGTATGGCTGTAGACAGTATGTGTCAATTTCAGATTAATTTTCTATGCATGTTCTTGGAGAAATAAAAATCAAGTCATGTTTAAAAAAACAACTAAGGTTAGTAGAATAGAGAAGTTACCTTCATGACTTTGATGCTACATGTTAACTTCTTTGACAATGTGAATTTACAAAATAATACCCAGAAAAACCCTTTTACCATTTGAACTTTCAGGAGTTAAGGCTTGTTGGTGTTTTGCTTCCCCCGCTCCCTCGCTGTTCTCCCAGAGATTCCTTGTCCTAAAAAGCAGTTATACGACAAATGGAGAAAGTGGCAGTTTAATAAATGGTTTTATTATTCTGTTATAGTTTCACCTGTAGATATTTTTTCCCATAAGAGGGCCATGTAAGATTAAATTATCAGAAGGAATGTTGCTGAATTATTTTTATGTTAGAGTTTGTTTAAATCTGCTAAGATTTGAAGAGTGCGCTTTTTATTTTTAGCATGTTCTATAAGTGGGTTTAAGTATTATCTGATCGTTTCTGAAGTTTTGACTGAATATTTTTACCTTATGTTTGACTAAACTCTAACTTAAATATATCCTCACACATTTAGGAAAACTAATCAATGACAAAAGAACTACAAAGGAGTAATTTTAAATTTAATTTATTAGAGCAGGTGATATTGAACTGTCCCTTTTTATATGCGAAATGTAGTCCTAAATTAATTCAATATTTATGAATTGAGTGGTGTTTAAAATGAACTAAGGTGTTACTTCGGCTAAGGTAACCCTGACTCAGATCCTTTGGTAATGTAAATAACTGTGCTTTGTCTTAGCAGTTGGGGCACAACAGTCCAGAAATATACTGTTCTCCAAAAGTCAGGTTTATTGAAATGATCAAGAGAGCCCACTAGGGACTGCAGGGAGTTAAGGAAGGGATGCTCATGGCTTAGAGACGCAGCCTTGCTAAGGTTGCCATAGCAAGGGTAGCATTTAGGGTTAGTCCCCCAGATACTCCTAAGTGCTTGAGAGATGAGCCAGAGCTGGGATAGCCCACATTTCCAGATCTTTCCCCTGATCCAAAGCAGATTTGAAGAAGTAAATACCTAGGTTATTGGGCACCATCCAGAGTGGAGACATATTTTAGCCCCAAGTGGAAGAAGTTGTTCTCCCTAGGCAGCAATTCTTCTGACTGAATGAATGATTATTATTGCATTTTTATGAATCTCTGGAAATGTCTTTTTGTTTTCTGGATTGCACTGTAATGGGATTATGTTGATACCTTTGTGATTTATTTGCGTTTGCCTACATCTACCACTTGGAAGTTCTGTCCTACAAGAATGAAGCAGAAAAGACTAAGGCCACGTGGATAAATGACACCTGCAAATAGGCAGGCAGATTCATAGCATTCAATGTCAGGGCTTGAACAGGTAATAGAGTTCAGATAAGCAGTCAAGATGGCTACATTTTCTATTTTCTACCCTCAGGTGGAGATAAAGGAAGTAGAAACTGAACAATGAAATGTCTCTAGAAGAAGGATGCTGAAGAGAGGATAGGCCAAAGAAAGACATAACCTTTGTAAACAATCTAAGATAAAAGATCTGGTTCTCTCTAGGAAGGCAGTAGGCCCACCACGATAACAATCTTGATTGTCACAAGTCACTGTTTTACGTCTCATCCAAGTAGCCTATGTCTTCAGGTTCACATGAACTCAGTTGGAGCTAGCTTTGTGGCTTCTTGTGGCTGTGAGTTTCTAGTTTCTTAGATATTTAGGAATTCTTGTGTAGGTCGATTGAAATGCATTTACCTCAGGAGAGAGGTGGTAACAATGAGGGCAGCCAAGAACACCATGAAATGTTGAAACCTTGTCTATAATGCCTCATGTATTTTATAAATTGTACATCAACTTCATCGCAAAAGCCAGAGGCCACTCTTGAGAATTCCAAGGCAGGCACTATTTCCTACCTACATGCTTTTAGTAGTGTTTCTAGAGGTATCAATAATCAAGGCAATCTACCTTCATTCATACTTTCCTTAATTTGTTGAAGACTGAGGTAAAATTCAGAGCAAATTTTTTTCTTTTAACTGGGAGTCCTTTACACAGAATACACTGGTGCGCCACATATGGGTAACAAAAACAAGCTTATTGCCACCTCTTGCTTTTCTCTGCCCTCCTCTGTCAGGTGAGGAGAAAGAAGAGGGTCCCAAGGATATATTAAGGGTTACAGCTCTCAGCCTTCAAGTTAAGGGTCCACTGATGACAGAGTAGGGTAAAGGGGAGGTGTAGCCTGTGGGTTCTGTAGGTGGGATGTCACAGGCTGGACCGGATGCTCTGTTATATCAGGTTGCTTCAAGGGGAGGGCCAGAGCTGACTGGGCACTGTCTAGGCTCTTACAGAGATTGGTTAGGCTTCCACTGGCTTGTCTATACACAAAAGATAAATATTTAAATGCTATAGCTACTGTTGTGAACATGCAGTGTCCTTAACCATGGAAAAACAAGAGTTAAACTAATAAATACATATGTAACATGAAGAAAACATAAAGCAGAGTAAGAAGAAGGTGGTGAAAGGGGTTGGAGTGTGCCATTGTAGACAGTGGGGTCAGAGAAGGAATTCCTGGGAAGGTGATATTTGAGCAAACACATAAATTATCGGAAGGAACAAGCTCTGCTAAGATCTGTAGAAAGCAGGTTGCAGATCGAGAAAATAGCAAGTAGGAAAAATTGAGGCTGCGGTGGCTCTACATCTTGAGAATGGGAGGGTTAGTGTGTCTGGAGCAGCCATACAGAGGGCAAGTGGAGGAGAGGTCAGAGGTACCCAGGTCTTTGGAAGGGATGGTGGATTTTATTATGGGTGAGGTAAGTCGTTGGAAGGTTCTGAGCAGGTCAGTGATGTGGCATTTACTACATTTACCATCTGTGATACAGCACCTGTCTCTCTGTATATTGTACTATGTTGTATTATATGTTAATTATATATATTTATGTATTACATATAACACACCTATATATTTATACACACACAAATATATTCCTACAAGATCTATGCTGATTAGAGAATAGGTTGTGGGGAAGAATCATAGGGGCAATTCTGGAAGCAGGGAGACCAGCTAGAAGGCCATTACAGTAATCCAAGTGCAAGAAGACTGGCTTGGACAACAAAGAAGCATTTACTCTTAAATTCAAACTATTATACTATACTTAAATTGCATCATCTTGCCCTTAAAAGTTACAAATATCAAATGATTTAGGAGACAGTCTTAGGACCAAATGAGAAAAGCCTTCAATTTGTTTGCAAAGCTCACACCCCAAAGAGGATATTCCCTTAGCCCACTAACAAAAAAGGGTAGCTTGCTGTTCTTATGGGAATTGATTCAGCCCTTGAAGTGGTGGAACCTACTATGAAAGGAGATCACTGGAAGGGACCCTGGAGGCACCCACAAGAAAAGCCCCTAGCATGAAAGCACGTGGTGTTAGGAGTAACCCTGAAGAAAGAACTGTCTGGAAATTAATGATCTTACAGTAGTCTGGGGCTGCTGGGGTCTGTGCACCCTAGACCTCATGCTCTTCACCTGCCCTACTGGAATACACTCCCTTTCTAAGGGTAGGTAGGAATTCCTCTCATTGGGTCCCCCAGCCTAAAGTTTTGGACTCTAGCCATCGGATTTAGCCCTATTCCTGCTCAGAGAGCTCACAGGAAGCAATGAGGCAGAATGTGGGATACCTGAAGGCGAGTCCAGAGCCCCCCTTCTTCTAACCCTACCTCTGCTGCTCAATAATTGTTCTAGTGTGTTCTCATCACAGTTGCTCAGACTCTTCCAGGTTCTACATTGCCTTCTTCGACATTTGTCTTTGGTACAGCGAGCTGCAGCCTGCTGATGTCCCTGGAGTGTCCTCTCCCTTGTACAGCCCTTGGCCAGGAGTCATTTGCACCTCAGATATACCCAAGAATACGCCTCAGCATTGGTTGCTTTGTGTGTTGGCTACACTGGTTCCGCATTCTCCTTTTGACTCTTGTGTGTAACCAGACTATGCAGGCATGCATTTTTAATTGTTAGTATCCTGTATTTAATGGAAAGCCTCTAAAACTTTTTTTCTCATGGCTTTTTGAGACCTGCCTCTAAACCTGGATTCTTGTATTTACATCTCAGACTCTCAAACTCTGCAAATTTGTTGGTATATTTAAAAACATGCATTTCCTCAAAATGTTAAGAGTAAAGATTAAATGATTTGACAGTGTCACAGTGGAAGATACTGGATCCTCATGTAACTTCCCTGCTTTGGTAGCTTTGTGACCTTAATGCAGTTGTGTTTCAAGAAGTGGGCACTGACATTGTCCTTTCTCCAAGTCAGTCTTCACTTTCCTCCAGCTTAATGCTCAGGATGTTTCTAGGACAGGTACCTATCTGGGCTTATTCTATGTTATTCCCTAAATGGATGTAATTGTTAACTAATTAATACTGGTTACCCAGTTTTTCGCCATCTTTGGTATAGCAGGTTGTTCTAGCTTCATTTCAGGTTTTTCTCGAGAAACAACTGACCACACTTTCTTTATAGGAATGTGGGGAGAGAGTGTGTAAAGCCCATTTCTTTGTGTGCCCATAAGCATTCCCTGTTCCTGTTTCCTATTGAAAGATGTAGTGGTGACACCTTATCCTGAATCTAGAAGAACTTATGACCCTCATCTCACTTCATTTTAAATTCAAATACAGCAGCAGATGAATGCCAGTACTTTATTATTTTTTTGTGGCATTTACTACATTTACCATCTGAGATACAGCACCTGTCTCTCTGTATATTGTATTGTGTTGTATTATATATTAATTATATATATTTGTATATTACATATAACACACCTATATATTTATACACACACAAATGTGCGTATCTACATCTGCCTCCAGTCATATTTCTCCTACGTTGCAGACCTATCCACTTTCACTTAGTCCCACCAACCAAAACTCAGTATAACCAAAATTGAACTCATCCCCGCAATTTCCTGCACAAACTTGCCTCTTCTCCGGTATTCCTTATCTGGGTGAAGAGCCTCTCCACTCACCAGAACCTTCATGTCATCTTCTTGCTCTCCTTCATCTGACGAATCTCTTAAGTCCGTTGATTCTACTTCCTTGGTTCTTTCTCCCTCCTACTTAGTTCATTTCTTGCTGAGATTGCTTCAGTAGCCTCCTTAATGGTTCTTTTACTTTCAGTCTTCTCTCCCTCTGATATTTCATATTGCCTATAGAATGCTCTTTCTAAAACATGAATGTCACTTATTGAATTGGTTATCATCTCTGTTCCCACAGGTCCGTTCTCTGCCTTTCCCTCCCCTGCTCAGTGCCTGGAAGCTGACCTCTATTGATAGAATCACCTGGGCTTCTTCTCCCTCTGGCTTCGCATTAGGTTTGGCCAATGAGAGGCACTGTCAGGAGGGCAGGAGAGAGAGAGAGGCTGTACCCTCATCCCTCCATTCAGCTGAAGTTCTGACAGTGATTGCATTCCATCAGACTACTGTCTCTGTTTCTGTCTCTGTCTCTCTGTCTCTCTCTCTCTCTTTGTCTCTCTCACACACACACACACACACACAAACACACACACACACAAACACACACACACACACACACACACACACACACAGCAGCTCCGTAACATTCTGTCCTCCCTTTGCCATTTCTTCAGGCTTAGGGGTGTTCAAGGCTTACTGCTGTTGCTGGTGCCTGGAACTTCAGAATGCCTAGTCTTTTTAGTTAAACTCTTTTGAGTGTCAACAGTCTCCTGCTGAGACTTTGATACCTAAAATCCTTCAGTGCCCTGCTCTCAGCATGAAATCTATACCTTAGTGTAATAGTAACCACTGCTTACCTCTCTAGCTGCAGGCGTTGAAATGTCCTCCTGTCTTCCCTTCACTTCATCCTCTTGAATGGCTGAACCACTTCCATGTTTTCCTTCATCTCGATAGTTTTGTACATATTTGCTACCCCCAGCCCTTCACTTTTATGTTATTGCCTCCAGCTTAATTCTTCAGTGCTTCTCTCCCACTTCCTCTTTTCTGGGAAGCTGCCCTCAATTCTTGCTCTGTACTTCAGGATTGAAAAAATGCTGGTTCTTTGTACTCTTATAGTACCCTTCGTATGTCATAAAAGTATTGACACTAGACTATAATTTTTGGTCTGTTTCCTGCTAGGTTGGAAAGATTGAAGGACTATAATTACTATGTAGAAGAATTTCTTGGTCATAGAATATAAAAGAACTACCATTATTCCTGTGAATAAAAATGAAAAAAAAAGATAAAATTCTAGGCACTTAAATATTTAGAAAATATATTCTCTTTTCCATTTTTCAGTTCCAAGGTGTAAAGCTTTGAAGGAAATGGATTTAATTAAAACTTCTGCTTCAGACTGTTACTGCTACAATCAAAATTCCCAAATGGACTGGAAAAACATATGGTCAACTGTGCAGGTAAGAGCATACTTTTAAATCATATCTTAGGAACAGGGAATTAAATGTCTATTTCAAGAGTAAAAACGTAGCTTTTATATGACTTAGAGCTGTGTATCAAAGCTGACTTGGGGATTATATACAGTGGCTCCAGGGGAGGGGTGTGTGGGAGAGGACATTAGCTCTCCGTGCTTTTCATCAGCCTTTCTCCAAACCATTCCAAATAAGTATATTAAGTGGATACAGTGTGCTTGCTGTTTAGATACAACTCAAGACAACACCTTCTCCCCTACTTTCCAAAATAATTACTATCCCAAATCCCTCTGTACAGAAATTCTGAAGTTACCTCTGATCCCAGGTATGGCCAAGATAGTAGTTACTCTTGACAGCCTAGTACTTTCTTTCTGTCATTCAACATTTAACAAATATTTCTTGAGTACCTACTAAGTGCCAGAAATTATTCTAGGCTCTTAGAATATATCAGTGAACAAAACAGATCCTTGTTCCTGTAATGATACTCTCAGGGGTGGGGGCAGGTTGGGGTAAGGCATAAATGTGTAAAGAGAAGAAAATTATAAAGCTAGTAAATGCTGTGAAAAGAATATAGAATAGGATAAGTGAAATGGGGGAATGAGGGCAAGTTGCAGTATTAAAAAGAGTGGTCAAGGTAGAAGGTGACATTTGAGTAAGATTTCAGTAAAGTGAGTGTTACCCAAGAAGATATCTGGGGAAAGAATGTTCTAGGCTACAGGCATCACTGGGGCATCTTATTAGTAGGCACATGATGTTGATTTGTACCATTAATGATAATTTACACTCTCTTTGATCACTTGGTTAAGGTGGTGTCTGTAAATTTACAGTTTTACCACTGTAAAATGACTATTTTCACCTCTGTAAGGAATGAATATTTTCACTAGATAATTTGAGACTCTGTAGATATCCTATTCCTCATCAAACTTTCTTCTCCTGATTTTATCATCCATTGATCATGCTTGCCTGAATCGATTGTCATCATGGTTGTCAGCTGGTAATTTTCTAATTCCATTGTTTCTGCTACATTCATTGGCATTCTTCTATAAAGAAGAATTTTTCCTCCTGCAATTTATTTATATCCACATGGTCTCATTACTTTCATTATTTATTTTGATATTCAGATTGTCCTAGATTTGGTCCCTTCAAACTAGTGGCCAATGGTCTTTTAACTTGTGCTCATTATTTGAGCACTTCTGTACCTTCTGCCATACAAAATGTTCCAAGTTTACTTTGTAATATCTTAGACCCTGCTCTGAAATCATGCTTTCTTCCAAGGAGCATTCAGTGTTAGTTGTGTTTATTACCACTGGGGTATCATTGTCATATGTGTATATACATATACATACACACCCATACACCTGCACACATATCTATTTTTTTTAAAACCATGAATTCTGATATCTCCCATACTACTGGGTTTATTCTAATCTTTCTCCTTTTCATATTTATAACTTCTTTCTCTGATAGTGAGAAACCTGGTTCTCATTATCCTCAATATATTGATTTATTTGCCTAATCCTAGAATATACTGAAAGGAATTTAGATTTGCTAAGCCATACCATTGTAAAAAACAAACAAATGTAATAACAGGAGTTCAGTATTTGTTTACAGTGTGTTTTATCTTTAATTCAAGGGTATATAGTCTAAATACTGTGCTCAACAGTTATTTGGATTAATGTACTTCCACGCATGCCCCTCCAATATGATTTTATTATTCATTTGAATTATATTTGTTTTTATTTGTTTCAATTTCAGAGTTTTTGCCCCATCCTGGTTGATTTTATTTTATTTTTTTTTAGTATGTACAATGTTAATATGGCTGAGAAAACTACATAAATGTATTCGCAGAGAAGAAAGATCCTCATATTTCTCTACCCATTCCTACCAAACCCTTGTAGGTAGTCTTATTAGTTTCTGGTATATCTTTCCTCTTTCTTTTTGCAAGAGTAAGCAGTGATACATGTGTATAGATAGTGCTTAAAGCTGAATCTAAGTAGTGAGTTTAGATGGAAAAGAGAAGACCAGTGACTGAGCCTGGGTCAGTCTTACAGTAAGAGGTCAGGGTGGAGGAAGAGGCTGACAGAGGAGACAGAGATGATGTCCAGGAAGCCCCAGGAAAGAAGTGTAACAATGTAAAGGGAATGACCAGCAGTGCCGAATGCTGTTGCTAGATCAAATCAGATGACTGAGAATGAATTGACTGTTCGATTTAGCAACCCGGAGGCCACTGGTGACCTTGTCACGGACATCCTGTTGAGAACAAAAGACTGACTGAAGTGGGTTAAAGAGAGAATAGGAGGAGAGGAACTGCAGACTTCAGGTACCAGCAACTTTTTAAAAGAATTTTATTTCAGTGGGAAGCTAGGAAATGGGTGATAGCTGGAGGAGAAAGTGGAGTCAATAGAAGAAGGCCTCTTTTTTTAATGGGAAAAATATTAGCATATTTATATACTTATAAAAATGGTCTAGTAGAGTGGGAAGAACTGGTCGGATGTCCTTCAGTTGGCAAAAATGGATCAGATCCAGTGCACAAGTCGGAGGGCTTGCTTTCAGAATGGAGCATGTAGATCTCTGTAGCAGAAGTTTCATCCCCACAGGCCAAAAGCAGAATATGTGCCTGCAGATGCTGACAGGTGGGGTAATTGGGATAGGAGCTGGTCAACATTCTCTTCTAATTTTTTCCATTTTCAGTGAAGCAGAAAGGATCAGCAGCCAAGGAATGGGAGGAGATGTTGGGGTATTAACAAATGAGAAATTGAAAATCATTGT